TAACGTTTGTTGGTGACAAAGTGACAATGCAGAATGCGAGTTAACGTGGGGAGGAAAAGCTCCAAAAGCGCAGCGACAATCGGCACCGCGTGCATCCCGCCGCCCCTACGCAAGGTCAACCTCCGCCCCGTCCCCTCACCGCCCCCGCCCACGCCCCCGCCCCCCGCTCGGCGCCCTGCGTACTACGGCGGATGAATGAACGCGTGTGAGGGGCGCCACGCACGGGGTGCCCCTCCTGTACACCGACTGACCAGTCTTGGTTTGTTTACATGTTTCACTTTAAAATGCACTACAGAAATACCTAATCAAATAATATCGGCATTTCTATAGATGTTATGCAAAGGAATTATTAAACGTTAATACGGAGCTTTTCAAAAACAAAAATACCAAGTGATCCTTGTTTAAAAGTTGAATTACTTACTAGAGTCGTTAGTAGAAACAAATATTTCTCGAACTTCTTTGCAAGTTAGCATTCAACTTTTCTAGTATACACGAGTATTATTAAAATTATTCGAATTTAAATGTCAATAGATTCGCAAATGCAGAAACAAGTTTGTATGTTAGCGAGGGGCGACAGGCGAGTATCAAGACAATTAGTCCACTTTACGAGCAGTACTGGTGCGCGAGTGCACGCGGGCCGGCCGCGCGGCAAGGTTAGTTCGCAACGCGCCCGCCCCGCCGCCGCCGCCGCGCCGCCTCGCGCCCGGCGCTTACTAAATTATAAACTTTACTTAAAAATAAAGTTATTTCGTGATTTACGTGAACTCTACCTTGTGACTCGCGTGTGCTCTCCTCCTTGTCAGTGATGCAAGTGACAGTTGTGACGTATCGTATGTCAATATTGACACTTGATGTTAGGGGTGTCAATAAATAATGATTATTTAATTTTTTCTATCAATGAATGTAATATTAGATGTTCTATTTAATAAGCGCATATTTTATAGTTAAAGTAAATGATAATTAAATATCTTTTGGCATGAATTACGTTAATATTCGACGAGCTTTTATTATATTTTAAGAACCGCCAAAGATGTCAATTGAAATAAACTAGCTGAATAAAATAGATGCAAGTAAATAAAGATATTTTGAATAGTTAAACTAGAATCAAATATGTGAGATAAAGAAGTGTTGCTGTAGATGCACAAAGTTAGTGTTTACAAACAGGCATGCATCGATTTCACATAAACCGCCAGCCGCCGCGCCGGCCGCCGCCCCATCGCACACTGCTGGCGGGAGCGGGAGTGGCAGCGGCAGCGGGAATCGTTCCTCAAACCATTTAATAGTTACATTTAAACGTCCGTCAAAAATATTTTTAATATAATTTCTTATCATAAAAAAAACGGTTATCGTAATATTTATCCAACAAAGATGCTGTTCCCCACTTCAGCAACTTATCAGCTCATCATTGTGATCGCAACCTTCCCTCCCTTAGACGCACATAAACATAGCGGCGTGTAATACGTACAGGGCGTGCGCGCGTGTGTGTGTCGGGCTTTACGGTGAGTCACGCGGCAAAGCGCGGGACACTACATGTACAGCCTGATGCGTTTGTCTCAAATCTTCGTAATTAAAAATAAATTAAATATTCTTTTTGATTTCTTCAATACTTGATCTATTTATTAATATAACCTAATATAATACAATAATGTTTGATAATTTTGATCCATGTAATGTTTTTTTATTAATTAAGCTTAGTTCAGTCTCAATAATATTAATTGAAATTCGACAGATTTCGTTTACAAATTGTTACTAGAAATCCGAAAAAATAGCGTTGTGTGATGGGTTAATGCAACATCCTGTAGAGCTTGTAACGGCGCGATCAATGGATTGCATGATTAGACAACATACATCGCGAAATAATTGAATTTATTGCACGAACGTCTTGTTTTTAGCCATATTATTTTTACAAAAACCATTTTTGTCTTTTTTTAAGTTTTATTTTTAATTCAAAGTGTGGAACTATGAAGTTATTCTTATCTTACATTTTCTAATTTAATTTAGCACGATGTCCTAAATGTATGAGTGACACAGACAGACGAGTTGATGGTTTAATTAATATCGCAAGTGGCCAGGCTGGACGCGACATTTAGCTATGAACATTGACACCAATTAGACTGACTAATCTATGCGCTTGCGCACTGATGACTCGTTGATGTCTACTGTACGTTGGAAAAAAAATGCAATGAATCAAAATAAAGATAAAGAGTTATGTATTCAGTTTTAAAACACATTACAATCTAACTGCAGAATAGTTTACTACTGCGAATTAATGAATTCTTCGGTTTGCGGTTGCTATTTTGATCTCGAGTTATTTTGAACCTATTGTTGCATACGAGTACATATCTTTATACGTAGTAACAAACTAAACGGTCGAGAAAATGCAAATGCTCTTATTTTTAATTTGATCAGTAGGAAACGTCCCCCGATCCGTTGGGGTCCGCGCCCCTCCTATCTGTCGCAATGTGAATTAAATCCTAATTTATCGATGGCAGGGTTTAGTTTTGTATTTTTCAGTGTCTGAGCTGGATTTAGATCGTAGGCGCGCTAATGAAGAGCGCGAACGTCCTCTCCGCGGCCTCCAGTCCAACTGAATTAAAACCGTTGTTGTTTTTTATTCTGCCTTTTCACAGTCTCCTCGCGGCGGGCAATTAATTTGCGTTCAGGGAATTAATTACGATTTGCAACGCATGTGATACCAATTCAGGTATTTGTAGAAAATTCAATCGAAATACAACCGCAATTCAATCTAAATGTACATTACTCACGCGAAACTTCGGCAATTGCTACCTGTGAAATATTCGAGAGTCTACATACACTAAAAGCCCAGATTTTGGGCGACACTCAACTAAGCTGTTTCCTCTGATTGTATATTGCACTTAAAACCCATTATCGCTAAAATTCTAAGTTCAAAATGTTTCCAAAAATGTTAAAAGGCTTACACTATTGTTAGCGTTGCATTCTTCAGTTCACATACCTAAAGTCTATAGAGAAGTGGTGTGATCCAAGAGAAAAACATAGCAATTTTCTAAGGAACTGTGATGTGTATGATTTAGTCTTGAATATCACGATTACTTCAATACAATAAGACATAACACACATGCGATCTCATCTCCTTCATCTTACTCGTTCTCCTACTCCCGTAGTGTCGGCGCAATCTCATGACATTATAATTAAAAATGTAAATGCAAATGTTGTACGTAAGCTTGTAGCGTTGTCAGGTAATGTTCGTGATGATAATCTGTAACAATATAGTGTAGTGGCGATAAATCAGCGGCCGCCCCGCCCCGCCCCGCCCTGCGGTGATTACACCACCAGCCCGCGCCCTTAAATGCGATCCATTTCGATAAGTGCTAGGAGCTCTCTTAAATCGAACTCCATACAATAATAACTAATAATGAGAAAATTTTCGCTTTGCTTTCTTCCAGTTGATTAACACATAGGTTTTATAAGTAGGTATTGCTAATTCATATTGACTGACTTGGAATACCAGGTTTATGCTAACGCGAGGTGGCTCAAGTGTTTGCACATTCATCCGCAATTAATATTAAAGATGTCTGGAAGTGAACGAGCGCCGACGCATCCGGACAGAATAAATATCTTTTACTGCTCCATAATGCTCCTGACAACTTTTCTCACACAGCGCTTTTAGTATTGATAACTGCGGTGAGCTATCGAATCGAATTACCTAAATGAACTAGAGATTAATTGAATTCTTAGTCTATATTTGTTACGTGACTTTTGTAAGGTTTATTTACGATAAAATCCAATCGAATATGTTTAATTAATAAACGCTGTTGGCTCCAGCGCGTAATGGACCATTACGCGTATTGTCGTGTAGCGGGATGGCGCGGGAGCGGCGTGTGGTGAGCGAGCCGGCCGCGGCGCAGTTACTCTGCAGTATATCTTGCGTGAATCGCAAGGGCCGCAGATTTATTGCCGTCGCCGACTCAACCTGCGCCCGCCGCCATTGTCGACGTCCTCACAATAAACTATACATTTATCTCGCTCGCTTATCAAACTATAAAGCAGCACGGAATGTGAATAAACCTTAGAATCCCGTCTGCGTACCTCTTATACGTACTCGCACCTAGAGGGTGCGTTTGAGTGTTAATAACGCTATTTTGAGGAGGGCGTTTGTTGCATTTCTCAGTATTGTTAGTTTACAATTTTATATTTGCAGTCAAAACAAGCTTTGAGTCTTGGAAATAGAGAGTCTCTTACAAAACTGCATTTATAACGTTCGCTACAAACTCTATCAGTTTGTTATAAAGTTTATAATAAATGCAATACAGTGCAAAATAAGTTTGTAAAGCGTCAGCTGCTCACTACGTAGCGCGCCGCCCGCCCCCCGCTGCCGCCCGCCGCCACCCGCCGCTCAGATGTTATCAATCATTGTTCGTAAATTTAATAAGACTTGTTAGATGGAAACTTGAAGGATGAGATCGCTGAGTGGACGAGAAATTTGATTTATTGTTGCCAAATGAACTATTTAATTGGGAAAAGGGGATGTACCCGAGCCTTAAACCTTTCTATTCTTTAGGCTAAATTCTCTTGAATGATTTACAAAATTACGATAAACGTCAACGGCTTTATAATGTATGGACTAAAAGAATGTGGACATAAAAGTGAAAAAAATTTGTGTATCAAGTGAAGGGTACGTGGCAAAGGACACTACTTGTAGACATTGTGGAGTGTAGGTGAGCATGGCGGAGCACTGGTCGTGGCTGACGGGCGCGGGCGGGGGCGGGGTCGGCGGGGAGGCGGCGGAGTACACGTACAGTCCGCCCACGCGCCCCGGCCGCCCGCCGCACCGCCCGCTCGTCAAGCTGGCCACCAGCGCGCATCTGCACACCATCGCCAGGTATGACGAGGAAGCTGTTCATATTTGATTCACACATACCGTGGGTGATGATTAAAATCGGTTCAAGTAATCCATAAGCGATTTATTTGTGATAGAATAAATTAAACAACACAAATGTAGCTCTGCATGTCTGTGTGCTCTACGTATACTGGTCGAGCACAGCCTCCACCATGGCGAGGCTGGGCGCGATGCCATCTCGTAGGGCGGCCCTCCTGAAGCACAGGGAGATGTTCATGATGCGGTCGCAGTCGTCCTCCATGGCGTCGTGCTGCCGCTCGCACTCGTGGATCATATCGATCATCTTATCTGACAGTAACTCACCTGCAAATAACATTAATTACATTTGTGGCATTTGTAGTAATCTGCGTTCAGTCGCGTGCCTCAAACTGAAGGTTGATTGAGGATCTAACGCTAGACAGATCTAGGTCGTTATGTTTATTATGTTAAGAGGAGATTATATAATTATTGATATCTGACCGTCTGGGAAGCTGCGTATGTAGTCGTCCATGTTGACTCTGTGCATGCGCACGTCGTCTTTTAGCAACGAGAACTTGTGCGCCATGCAGATGAGGGCACATCCGAACTCTCGCTGCACCGACGACGTCGGGAACTCGTCGCTCCAGTAGTGCGCGAACGCCGCCATCATGTCCACCGTCAGCCCGGACTGCACACGGCACACAACAAGCCACGTCAGATTGTCAGAGATTTTTAAAAGCAATCATACAGATCTTAGTTAAACTAGGAAGTAAATGAGCAATCTTGCTTGTAATCGGAAGTTTTCTTATTAAATCTTACCTCCTCCCGACAATCCTCTAACATCTGTCCGAAATGCGCGGTGACATGGCTCATGGCCTCAGCCGTAGCGGCGGCGGGCGAGGCGCCCAGCGCCAGCACCACCAGCACGCAGCTCAGCCAGTGTAGTAAACCCATACCAACTGTGTCACTGCCATCCGCCGCCTCGCACTCATATATACGCAAGCAGACCGCTTCATTATTGCCTCATTAACCATTTTTATAAATTGATTATCTCTTGTCATCAGATGCATAAAGTTGTAACAATTTATTATACACCTAATATCTTGAGCCATAAAGTCCAACAATCACCTTTTTCTCGATGGATCCATTGGCGTATTAAATGGTCAGAAAAGTCAACTCACGCTGTATTTATTTCTTCAAAGGCTACTATTAGAATAGTTTACAAAGCACAGCGTCGTCGCTGCAAAATATATATTAAGGCAATTATCTGTTTGTGCGTCCAATAAAATATCTGCATGTCACTGGCGAAGTCCGCGTGCATTCCTGGTAAATAAATGACTTGATTACAGACGACACAACGTAACAATAATACGAGTATGATATTTAGAAATTGGTGTAATCGAAATCTTATTAAAAACATGCGTCTATCTGTTATCACAATATTTGTCGACATGTAACACTGACAAACTAAGAATAGGTCCTCTCATATTGAATGCTAACGGAGTAAATTAGATACCTATGATTTATGAATACTGAGCCTACATCTAGAATTCCATTTGCGTAGACTGTGACGTAGTGTGCACTGACACGAGACTAGCGAGGAATGCGAGGCACCTGCTCGACTGGTGTTTGACCACCCGCGACAAATGTCCCGTGCGGAAAAAACTATATAAAGTGTTTTCACGTTGTAAACTTTTATGTACACGTCTGCGATGCTATCACTGCATTAACTCACGTTAACGTTATTCCATTTACATTGAAGATATACCTTTGCTTGTATTATAAATCGTTGATTTATCTCATAAACTAACATCACATTAGAGGGATTAATTATGAGAATACTAGTGGTTCATAAATACAATTTTATAACGCTGAAATTCGTCAACAATCCTCTAATTTTAAGATTTTGTGTAAGACATTTATGTATTACTAGCTGTTATTGTTATAAAGTTAATAACAGTGTCGTGTTTTGTGTGTAGCGATTCACGTCACGATTCCCATTCCGCGGCTCATTGGCTGCGGAGTGTGGAATCACTTTCCCATAGCCCTAGCCTAACCGGTAGCCTCGTAGTGACGGATTGCAGGCACGTGAGGTCCGCCGCCGCGAACACACGATGATTACTTTTTACTGAAGCCGGGACTCAACTCTCAATTATTCTCATGTAGTCTTGATTCAAAGAGTTTTACTCATTTAAAAAAGTTTAACTAACAACATGTCCCGTCAAAGGATAAGATATTTGCTAAACTATTCTAGACCGTGTCACCTTGATATAGGTTTTATTATTGGTGCTACTGACTCAACTTGTTTTGCTTAATAATCGCATTGCATATCTTACTTCTTACTAATATTATAAATGCGAGAGTTTATAAGGATGGATGGATGTTAGAGTTTGTAGAAATGAAGTACACACCGGCTAACCTATTTTTTTTTTACACGGACGGAGTCCCGTGCGAAAGCCAGTCTCCCTTAATTGAATACAATTATCGTATCAAATTAGGCCTACATAACATTTGATACGCCAATAACTGGTACTTTATCTAAAAACTGTTTCGAAGAGGGATGATTTGGGATAAAGTTTGGATTTTTCCTATTACGTGATATGAATGATTGTTGAACTCGGCCCCAGTCCCCAGTCCCCAGTCCCCAGCAGGTGTACTGGCCATTAGTTCCTTTCGCGAGCAGACAGACCGTCATCTATCACTACAGCGAGCAATCCCTCACACACCGAGCATCGATTGATGCCGCCTCATGTTTATGACAATTTATTAAATAACTAGTATTCGCCGGCGACTCTGTTCGCGTGTTCTTCCAGACCAAACTCTACATCTCTGTAAAGCATCGAGATCCGTTCAGCCGTTTAAGCTACATACTCTAACAAACATCCATTTGTTATATTAGTAAGAAGTAAGATAGAACGGGATATAACGTGATTTAAAATATAGATATCAGATATTAAAAATTATTGAAGTAAAATTTCTTTTAATAATTCCCGAATATTTTATTTATCTAGTGATCCAGAGAACATTAATTTGTTCTATTAAATCCGATTCAGTTTCTTCGTTCTCAATTTGTATGATTGGTACACAAAATATTGTTTGAGGGGAAAGTAAACAATGCGTAAAATTATAATTCAGTTGCATCTACGTCGTTCAAAGTAAGTGTTCGATATCGTTGATATGTGCAGGGGCGCGGGCGGCGCGGGCGGCGCGCACCTGTACACCCTATTATCTCTAAACAATAAAACCGAAGGCGGCAGACATGCCGACCGCGACTTTGTTTGGTGGAAAATATAAAAATTTCCATATAAAAGAGGTCGCGATTTCTTTGGTAATATTTATGTGTCCCCCGACGCCCGCCGGCTCCTGGCGCCCCGCGCTACGTGTATGGAATCTCAGCCAGGCGCCGCACGAGGCGTGATCGCTCATTGTCCGCCGCCCCTACCTTTCTCTATAGCAAATGCCATGTCTTTGATTTACTTTATGTTATTATTGAGATTTTACGATGTCTTCTGTATATACAACAATTTAAAATACCGAGGGGACGACGACGTGTCCCATGTTTATCACTTGAACATGAAGACAAAATGAGTTATATAATTACATGTACATGGATCTTTCTTTTTGACCGACTTCCCAAAAGAAGGAGGTATTCAATTCGTCGGTATATTTATTTATTTTTTTTTTTTTT